ATTGTCGTCTTGCAACCTGTAAAAATAAATTATGAAAGTAGCTAAATCATTAAATAAATCCAAGATATATAAACCACATATGCCAACTAGTTTTGTGGAAAAACTAGCAACATAATCAATAATGCACACAAAATGTATAATGAACACAAGTTCAAGTTCTCATATTTCCCTGGTGTAAATGGAAGGGTTTGAAAGTAGAATCACGAGCAAATTATCAAAAGCTCGACGACTAATAAAAACACTATAAGACGAACACTAATAAGTTAAATATCAGCTCTGCAAACCCGATACTTGAAGCCTCCACAGGATATTCATTCGTAAGTCACAGAACAAAAAACTCCATACACACAAATTACCATATAACGCAACAGGCTGAAATCGATACGGATGCAATCTCCGTATCGGAGATTGACAAAGGACGTATTGGATTGAGGAGTAAGAATCAACTTGCCTGCGATATGAAAAGCCTCAAAGCCATGCTCGCGCGATCGAGCTATCTGATTAATTCTTGAAACTGGACCTTCTTAAGATTGGTGTGTGATGGAAATGCTTGAAATAGTTGAATAAACCGAAAAAGAAAATCGATAATTTTAATAAATTCCGGAAACCGATTTCCATGCAAGTTCCTTCTTAATATATAATCTATAACATTAATAAAGTAATTTTAATAAAAATACTTTTACAAGATAATAATATTTTTTATTCAATAATTATCATAATTATAATAATAATCTTTTTATAATATAAGAAAAACAAGTTGACACTATCATATGTCTCCACTACTAATTTAAAAATGATATTCCACCTCTACGACGTTAGTTTTTAAGATAGGAATTAGAACGGGGCGTTGTGGGTTTTATTATCTATAGTGAAAAATATACTTTTTATAACTATTTTTTATATCTATCAAAATTTAGCAACTATATAGAAAGTGACACAATGACAATTTTGTAAATATAAGAAACTTTTTTACACAGGTTACAATAAAAATATATATAAAAAGTTTTTTTATAGCTGTTAACATTAGAGGAGTATAAATTATTGATTTACACCGGTTAAATATTATATCACGTATAAATTATTTTACATTTTCAGTTTGTTTTTCCCGCAATACTTTCTTTTCTGTGCAAAACTTCATTTCGATTACCATTGTTGTCCGTTCAGTCGTGTTGAGGTGGTTGGGTAAAACTCTTGTTCCCGTTTGAAGTTGCTCGTGTTTCTCATTCACTGTGCGTTTCTCATCTTCTTTTTAGCGTTTGAAGTTTTTCACGTTTGGGTAAAGCAGCATTTCTCAGTGTCGTCGTTTTCTCTTTCGCACATCAGAGAGCATTTCTCAGCGTCGTCTTCCTCACTTTCAGTGGCTCGAGAGCTCATCCTTCACCATCATAGAGCATCTTCCTCTCTTTCATGTTAGGGTTTCTCCTGTACTTCCTCATCTTCCACCGATTATAATCTCATTCTACCAATTATAATCCCTTTCCACCGATCAATCGGTCCATTCTAGGGTTCCTTGGTTCCTTCACGGTTTTGCATCGATTAAACAAGTTCTCTTGAGGGTCTAAGGCAAACATTTTGTATTTTAGTTTCTTTTTGCCGCTTCAATTTACGGTTAGAAGGTGGTCATGAGCGTGTGCTACCAGGGAACAACTCTTACAACTCAGAGATATATTTTTTATGTTATTGCTGCTTTAATGTTATGGTTAATTAATTATACTTTTTCCTGAGAAAATATGTTTATTGCATCTGCTGCCTAGATGTTATTCTTTTCCTTTTAATTTGAAAATTGTGGCTAATTTGATGTTTAGTGATTGGATTCTTCTGTGCGTATTGTTTTCCTTGATTACCCTGTAAACATGATTACAGATATATAAATCCACTTCCATTCACATTTTCTAGATATATATGAATGATTTCTAGAAAGCAACGGTATATATTAAAATATTATTCTTATTAGTATATAATAGAAAATCATTTTTTTTTATTTCAGTGAAGTTTACCATGTATGTTTACCTATTTGGATTTGTAGAGTTATAATTATATATTTTACAGCATGTATCATGAGAATTTTAAAGCATATGTATCCCATCTGGTTAGATGCATGAATATGTTTTACTGCTATGTGTTATNTTATTGCTGCTTTAATGTTATGGTTAATTAATTATACTTTTTCCTGAGAAAATATGTTTATTGCATCTGCTGCCTTGATTTATTTTTTTCCTTTTAATTTGAAAATTGTGGCTAATTTGATGTTTAGTGATTGGATTCTTCTGTGCGTATTGTTTTCCTTGATTACCCTGTAAACATGATTACAGATATATAAATCCACTTCCATTCACATTTTCTAGATATATATGAATGATTTCTAGAAAGCAACGGTATATATTAAAATATTATTCTTATTAGTATATAATAGAAAATCATTTTTTTTTATTTCAGTGAAGTTTACCATGTATGTTTACCTATTTGGATTTGTAGAGTTATAATTATATATTTTACAGCATGTATCATGAGAATTTTAAAGCATATGTATCCCATCTGGTTAGATGCATGAATATGTTTTACTGCTATGTGTTATTTACCTTAATTATGGTTGGATGGTTTCTTCGTTCTGTATTAGAGAAAACTGTGAATTCTCCATCAAGTTGCTTCAGCCTGAGAAGCAACCCTGGATAGAAGAAACCTGCATATAAAGAAATAAAAGTCATTTGAGTTAAGGCAAACTTAAAACATCATAATTAGTAAGAAAGGGATTTGGGTATTACCCTCGACCATAAGGATCAATCCATGGTCGATCATGATTGACAAGGAACTAGATAAAGAGCTTATATGACACATGCGAGGAAATCCTAATTACATGTGTCTTAAACTAAAAATGAAAGGAAAGGAGTAGAAAATTACTTGCTCTATAAGGAAACCCGATTGGTAGAGAATGGAGAATTCACTTTTGTGATCTCCTAGACATCTTCTGAATGTCAAACAGATAACTCCAGAGTCAGAAATCTTAAAGAGAAAGTAAAGGGAATTCAGAGAATATTTTATAGAGAAATGATGAGTGTTTAAGATAATGAGATGTCTTATGAAATTTTATTTATATTACGGAATTATTTTAACTTTAAAATACTCGGTCTCATTATTTTAAAACACCTATAAACTCTAATACTCTATTTTCTAGGTTCTTACATCTTTGAATCCTTTTAGATATTCATAATAACTACAAAGATAAGTTATATCCATCATTATTTAAAAGATATTTGGAGAATATTACATTATCAGAAAGAAGATTTCATCAACAAAATAGTTAGGGCTAAAACCCAATCAAATTTTATATAAGGAAACCTAGAAAGAGCATAAAAGAAAGCTTAAATAACCAATGATAAATCCTATTTTGAAAAAATATAGTGGAAGCAACCCATTTTCTTTACTAGTGTCATTATTATTTTTTTATCTTTTTCAAATTTATTTCTTTCTTTCTGTTATTTATTATTATATATTATTTATTTTATTTATATTTATCTTCTATTATTTTTATTGTATTTGACTAACTTTTTTAGTGTATAGATTGTATAAGAACTAATTGGCTAGAAATCATTTTTTTTTTTGGAAGATGACTTAAGGTTGACTTTACCATTTATATTTTGTTAGCTATTATTTTAGCAATATTAAAATTGTTATAGGTTAATAATATTAATTTAACTATGTAAATGTCATCATTATCACCAACAAACAATAAATTTCATTAAGGTAAATTCTAACACATGACTCTAGTACCAGGTTAAAAAGTAGATTTAGTCTAAATCAATTTTATAAAAATGACTTGTAGATTAATATTTGCACCCACGTATGTATAACAAATTAACCTTATTTTTAATCAATGTAAAACTTGTAATAGTTTGTAATATGTTAATTTTTTTCAAATATTTTTTGCTGACTTTATGTGCACCAAATTGATATATAAACTTGACTTTTATTTTTCTAATCAAGCTATGCAACTTTTATTATATGTCTGAAGTAATGATTATAAATCTTTCAAGTTAGAGATTATAACATAATTGATTTTGAAAAGAAGAATAAACTATATAATTACAAATTATATATAGACCTTTTTTTAAGGAATTATAGTAAAGTTTATTTATCCATATTTTTATCCAAAATATTATAGTAAAGTTATTGATATGATATATCCCCAACTTATAAAAACCATATTATTTTAAAACTAGTTTTATAAAGTCTTACCAAATTGATAAAAGAAAATTGTAACAAGAATTATTAAACAAATGTTCAACAAATAATTGTAACAAGAATTATGTTAAACAAATAATTTTAACAAGAATTATTAAACAAATAATTGTAACAAGAATTATTTTAAACCATATTATATCTACAAAACACCACTTATTAAAAGAATGTTCAACATGTGTTTGCTTGCCATATGTCCATGACTTACAAGAAGATTGTATAACCTTGAAAAAAAAAATTGAAATATATTATAATAATTTTCTTGTAGATAATTGGAGAATCAAAATATTAATTTTAATTTTGTTAATTTTTTGGAAATATATATGATTAATTTAATTGTTAGTTTTGGAAATTTAAATATGAATATAAGTTTTATATTAAAATGAAAAAAATAAATAATATATAAAGAAATAGCATCTATATATATAAATTCATTCTTTTCATGTTTCGAGTTAAATGGTGTTAATATATTACATGAGGTAAACTTATGTTTGATTGGTAATGTATTTTTCTAGTGATTCTCTATCAAAAGATTTAAGTAGTTATGAAGATGAAGATCCATTGAGTTGGAGGTGGTGTAAAGACGACTTGGTATCTCATTGATCTTATATATCTTCGATTATCTTCATCCAAAGATCCTTCAAAATGACATTTTTTACTTCAAATTTAATCATTATATATGAATGATTAATTCAACAAGTTTCCATTATTAACTCAATTTTTTGTTTATGAATATAAATAACATATATTGAAGATCTCTTGGGGAAAATGCTCCATTAAGTCTCAACAAAACTCATTTGAACATCATTTTTGTTCGCAATTTTCTGCAATGTATGAAGTGATGAAATGATGTAGATAAAGAATTACAATTCAGAAGACTGGTTGGAAGGTAGTGGCTAGTGCAGTACCCTTTTTGTTTTTATAAGCAAACTGGGATATTCTGTTGGTTTTGAAACAAGTTCCTGAAAGTTAACACACATTATCTGTTGGTGCAATAGACATGCCTCTAATAGCAGAGGACACAGTAGTACAATTATACTATCTCGTAGCCATCAATCATATCATGGAAAAGAGAGAAGATGCTTGATGATATATATATATATATATATCAGCATTATTCAGCACTAGCTAGCTTCTGCAACTTGGCAGCAGCACCTTCTTCCAAGTAATCAGAGAGCATTGCAGCTTTATTCCCTCAAGATGCCAAGCCACGAGCAAATCCATGAGTCCCTATTTGTTCACGTGAAGGTATAGCCATAAGCATTCCAGAAACGGGTGAAGATGAAGCCATATTATTATACCCTGTTGTAGTAGTAGTTGTTGTTGTACATTCAGGCACGTGAACCTGCTGCAGAAACAAGTGGGGTCTCACTATCATCGCTTGTGAAGGTGCTGCACTCACTGTTACGCCAATCTGTGAGGCTTTTTGCAACAAAGCAGTGGCTGACATGTGAGGAGAAGTGGTGGAATAATGGAAGGAACTCAAAGAAGGAAGAAAAGTGGGTGTTGAAGCTGTTGTTGTAGAAGTAGTAGTAGTAGGGCTAGGGTTTTGATCATGGTGGAACAATGAGTGGTTCGCATGTGTGGGAAACAACTGTGGTGTTGTGAAGTCTAAGGTGGTTCTCAGTGTTTGACTGTGCATTGATTCTTCCAACACTGTTGGAGAAGATAACCATGATGGAATTTCTTGACCTAATAGGTTGAAATCTTGTTCTCTTTTCATCACCAGTGATGTTGCTGCTTCAAGTTGAAGCCCATGGCTTCGAAATTGGGACTGAGATGATAATAGAGAGTGAGGGTTCACTGCTCTTCCACTTTCTTGTGCTAAGGCATCACAGAAGGCTCTGTGAGTGATAAAGCTGTCTCTTCTGCAACCACAGAAAAGGCAAACAAGAAATTCAGTATTTTTTTTTTTTTGCATGACAAATTACATATATAATGATTATGTTTTTCATGAGACAGTTTTGTTTAATGCAACTCTGTCTGAATATATATATATAATTTAATTATATATCAAACTGCAAACTATTAGTATATATTATAAATAATTCATATTCAGTTTTTTTTTTCATCTATATAAATAAATACACACAGATTCCTTCCTAGAGTACAGTTTTTTGTTGTTTGTACTGTTTTACACACTTTCCCTTTTCATCTATATATGGACTTGTTAATTCACATCTGTTTCCTCTTCCTTCCTAATACCTGGAAAAGTAAAATAAAAATAATATGTTTGTTTTGATTCAGAAAAAATAGAAATGAATAGAAGAAAGTGGAATGTATTTATTAATTATTAATACTTTATTTTATTTGTTTTGTTATAATAAAAAACATAAATATTAATAAATATTGACAAAAATGCTATTTTTTATCACCATGTAATTATGTCATTATATATCCTGAAACTAATAAGTGTAAGTGATGCACACGAATCAATATTAAATTTTATGTTACATATTTTCAGAGAAAAAAAGAATGTCTGTGATAAGAAAAGCTTAGACTTATTTTCTAATGAAAATAGATGTATATTTAGTGTAAACAGAAAAAAAAGAAGAAGATGAAAATGAAATGTATTTAACGAATGGTGTAATAAGAGAAATACATGAAAAGCTTGAAGTTGAATTATAAGTTTTTTCTTTTCTGAGTTGAGAGGTTCTCAGTGTCTATTCAAAAGGCAAAACTGAAGAAATTGTTTCTTAATTATTCTATTGAGTTCGATTATAAACTTTCTCAAGACAAAATCTGTATCGATTTTGTCTTGAAATTCATATGAAATAAAATAAAAAGAGAGTTATTTTCAAACTCAATTTACAAAATAAAATTATTCAATTTAGATATTTACTAATTTTTTTTCATTTATTTGATTAATTTGGCCCCTGCTAAATATATTTTCCTAACAAAATTTAAACTATTCATTATTGTGGATTTACATTACCAATCAATATACTACTACAAATATATATAAACTTTTTATACTAATAAATTGCTTAGTTTTGTTTCATTATTGTGGATTTACATTAACTAATTAGAAATTAGAAGTTATAAAAAAAACTCAGTACTGGAATAACAATGTAAAAAGTGTTTTACTATATCATCATATTCTAATTAATTTTTTAGCATATACACATATAATAACCATATAATTAATTATACAATTTCTATTAGACAAAGCATATATATAACAATGAAGACATATAATACATAAACCTGATGACAAACTGTTATGAAATGATTTTCTTGGACAGAAAATTAGTTAATTTGAGCAATTTAGATTGCGGTTTGAGAAGATAAGTTGGTTTATGAGTTAAAAGTTGATTAATTAATTAATTAAGGAGATTATTACCTAGAGAAAAGGGTACCACAGTCACATTTGTATTCCCTGGTGCCACAGATTTTGGAGTGAGCTTTCCAATCAGATTGAACTGCATAGCGTTTGGAGCACTTCTCACACTTCCATTTCTTCTCTCCATGCTTCCTGAAAAAGTGCTTCTTGATTCCAGTGAGGTCCCCAAGGGCCCTCGAAGGGTCATGGTGAACACATGTTGCCTCTGGACAAACATACACTTTCTTTCTCACCTCTTTGCTGTTCTTCTTCTTTAGCTTCCATGGCAGATTGTGCCCTCTTCTGTGAAGCTGCAGATTCTGATCCCTTTGAAACCCTTTCTGACAAATCTCACACACAAACCTGTTTGTTGCCAATAGGGTCTCTGGAGTCAATGCTATCACTTCTGCATCAGGGTCTGAACCAAACCAACATAAAACAACAAATTTTTTTCAATGCAGAAACCATATACATGTTTAACTGAAAGAAAATTACAAATGTATGAAGGGTTTTAAGTCTTATCCAATGACAAATTCTCCTATATGATAAATTTGTTGATTCCATGAAGTAATGATAATAAAAATCATATTTTGACAGATATAAATATCTTACATAATATATAAAAATTAAACTATGTGAAGTGAACTACACTAACTGTATAGGGAGTAAATCAAAAACTGATTTTGCTGCAACAAAGTAGAGAAAAAAAAATGGGTATTTGTGTATGACCTGGATGGCCTGGAAGACTTCTCTTCTTTTTTGGTTGTGGTTCTTGATTTATTGAAGTAGAGGAGTATTGGTGAGCATGGAAAAAACCATTGTCATTTCTGATTCCTGAAGAAGCACTTATTTCACTCGATGCAGAAGTCAAATTAGACATGTTTTCTTCCACCACCAGAAACCTATATATACAAATAGATTAGGTAAGAAACCAAACTACACTGCACAAAGGTGAGATATTCACACATATATATATGTTGATGAGAAAATAAAGGTATTTGAACCAAAAGAATTTCTGAGATCTTGCAGGTGAAAAGGGTAATACTATAAGGTAAGGAAATGAATGGATCTGATTTTGTTGAGGTCATGGATCCTGCTTACTTATATAGCTTTCTCTATTCTTCAAACTTTTAAGAAATTCTTGAGAAAACCACCAAGAGTGAAAGAGAGAGAGAAAGAGGAAAAAGCTGAGAAAGGTGAATGGATCCCGAGAAGGATTGCCTTTGCCTTGAGAAGTTGTTGTTGGTAAGTAGCATCTAACATGAAAAGCATGAAGCATCAAGCAGCAAGCATCAAACACGAAAGATGAAGCATGACCTGGTATAAGAGTGTGAAGAAAAACACATATGAGGTAAGTAAATTCCTTAAGTAGATCTCAGTATCTAAGACTAGTCTTTAATGTGAGTAACCAAAAGAAAACAAGAGAATGGTGAGAAGTGTATGAGTTAAATTATTAGCTACCTACTTGAGGAAGTTTGAGTTTGTGAGTGTGTGAAGGGAGAGAGATAGAAAGAGAGAAAGAGAGAGAGAAGAGATTGGAATGCGGATGAGGAAAAGGATGTGTTTGAAGATGGCACGTACAAGAGACCAAAGCACAAGCCAAACTGGCTTCTTCTGAAGTGCACTTTCTGTCTTTTCCCCTTTTTTTTCTCTACCTCCAGTTTTTCTTTTATAAAATTTTCTTCCTCAATAATTGAACATTATAACATTATCATTTTCTATTCCACTCTTCAATTTTTTCTTTCTTCCTCAATTATTGCACATTGCATAATAGCTTGATGATTTTCTTTCTTCTGTGGGTCAACTTTGTGCTGACCATATTTATACAATGTGTTTCATATATACGTTGTTATTAGAGTTATGATTCACATTTTACATATGAAAAAAAATTAAATTATTAAAAGTAGCAGTCTTAAGAAAATACTTAGATGTAAATTCTAGATTTACATTTAATTTGATTCAATAAACATGAATCTCAATACTATCATTGATTATTTTTAGTGACTTTTTAAATTAGTTATGATTTTTAATTTATAAGATTCAAATTCGGTATTATATTTAAGATATCCCATCTAGTTTTATTTAGACCAACCATATCTTAATCTCCATCAATCGTTTTTCGACAATGTTTTACCAATTTAATTATTCCTACATAAAATTTAAAATATAGTACTCTGTATAATTTTATATGGTTATTTATTTTAATTTATGTACAGACATGCTAAAAATACATTTTAATTGAAATTAGAAAATAAACTTGACCACTGTAAATTCTATATTAGGTTCATAAAAATACACACACAAAAATCCATGGTTTAACTGTATTATTTTACAGTGATACATAATATATTTGATTTGAGATATAAGTTAATATAAATAACTATATATATAGAGTAAGAAATTCATTAAGTAATATAAGTATGAGATGTTTTACCAGTTAAAAGAGAATATCTTGTACTTATAAGAGTGCAGAAAGGGGTTTTATGCTGTGACTTGTGATAGATTTTTTTTCCTTCATATTTTAATGAGAACATAGCCTTTGTATAAAAATATAACANTATTTATTAATTATTAATACTTTATTTTATTTGTTTTGTTATAATAAAAAACATAAATATTAATAAATATTGACAAAAATGCTATTTTTTATCACCATGTAATTATGTCATTATATATCCTGAAACTAATAAGTGTAAGTGATGCACACGAATCAATATTAAATTTTATGTTACATATTTTCAGAGAAAAAAGAATGTCTGTGATAAGAAAAGCTTAGACTTATTTTCTAATGAAAATAGATGTATATTTAGTGTAAACAGAAAAAAGAAGAAGATGAAAATGAATGTATTTAACGAATGGTGTAATAAGAGAAATACATGAAAAGCTTGAAGTTGAATTATAAGTTTTTTCTTTTCTGAGTTGAGAGGTTCTCAGTGTCTATTCAAAAGGCAAAACTGAAGAAATTGCTTATTAATTATTCTATTGAGTTCGATTATAAACTTTCTCAAGACAAAATATCGATTTTGTCTTGAAATTCATATGAAATAAAATAAAAAGAGAGTTATTTTCAAACTCAATTTACAAAATAAAATTATTCAGTTTAGATATTTACTAATTTTTTTATCATTTATTTGATTAATTTGGCCCCTGCTAAATATACATTTTTTCCTAACAAAATTTAAACTATTCATTATTGTGGATTTACATTACCAATCAATATACTACTACAAATATATATAAACTTTTTATACTAATAAATTGCTTAGTTTTGTTTCATTATTGTGGATTTACATTAACTAATTAGAAATTAGAAGTTATAAAAAAAACTCAGTACTGGAATAACAATGTAAAAAGTGTTTTACTATATCATCATATTCTAATTAATTTTTTAGCATATACACATATAATAACCATATAATTAATTATACAATTTCTATTAGACAAAGCATATATATAACAATGAAGACATATAATACATAAACCTGATGACAAACTGTTATGAAATGATTTTCTTGGACAGAAAATTAGTTAATTTGAGCAATTTAGATTGCGGTTTGAGAAGATAAGTTGGTTTATGAGTTAAAAGTTGATTAATTAATTAATTAAGGAGATTATTACCTAGAGAAAAGGGTACCACAGTCACATTTGTATTCCCTGGTGCCACAGATTTTGGAGTGAGCTTTCCAATCAGATTGAACTGCATAGCGTTTGGAGCACTTCTCACACTTCCATTTCTTCTCTCCATGCTTCCTGAAAAAGTGCTTCTTGATTCCAGTGAGGTCCCCAAGGGCCCTTGAAGGGTCATGGTGAACACATGTTGCCTCTGGACAAACATACACTTTCTTTCTCACCTCTTTGCTGTTCTTCTTCTTTAGCTTCCATGGCAGATTGTGCCCTCTTCTGTGAAGCTGCAGATTCTGATCCCTTTGAAACCCTTTCTGACAAATCTCACACACAAACCTGTTTGTTGCCAATAGGGTCTCTGGAGTCAATGCTATCACTTCTGCATCAGGGTCTGAACCAAACCAACATAAAACAACAAATTTTTTTCAATGCAGAAACCATATACATGTTTAACTGAAAGAAAATTACAAATGTATGAAGGGTTTTAAGTCTTATCCAATGACAAATTCTCCTATATGATAAATTTGTTGATTCCATGAAGTAATGATAATAAAAATCATATTTTGACAGATATAAATATCTTACATAATATATAAAAATTAAACTATGTGAAGTGAACTACACTAACTGTATAGGGAGTAAATCAAAAACTGATTTTGCTGCAACAAAGTAGAGAAAAAAAAATGGTATTTGTGTATGACCTGGATGGCCTGGAAGACTTCTCTTCTTTTTTGGTTGTGGTTCTTGATTTATTGAAGTAGAGGAGTATTGGTGAGCATGGAAAAAACCATTGTCATTTCTGATTCCTGAAGAAGCACTTATTTCACTCGATGCAGAAGTCAAATTAGACATGTTTTCTTCCACCACCAGAAACCTATATATACAAATAGATTAGGTAAGAAACCAAACTACACTGCACAAAGGTGAGATATTCACACATATATATATGTTGATGAGAAAATAAAGGTATTTGAACCAAAAGAATTTCTGAGATCTTGCAGGTGAAAAGGGTAATACTATAAGGTAAGGAAATGAATGGATCTGATTTTGTTGAGGTCATGGATCCTGCTTACTTATATAGCTTTCTCTATTCTTCAAACTTTTAAGAAATTCTTGAGAAAACCACCAAGAGTGAAAGAGAGAGAGAAAGAGGAAAAAGCTGAGAAAGGTGAATGGATCCCGAGAAGGATTGCCTTTGCCTTGAGAAGTTGTTGTTGGTAAGTAGCATCTAACATGAAAAGCATGAAGCATCAAGCAGCAAGCATCAAACACGAAAGATGAAGCATGACCTGGTATAAGAGTGTGAAGAAAAACACATATGAGGTAAGTAAATTCCTTAAGTAGATCTCAGTATCTAAGACTAGTCTTTAATGTGAGTAACCAAAAGAAAACAAGAGAATGGTGAGAAGTGTATGAGTTAAATTATTAGCTACCTACTTGAGGAAGTTTGAGTTTGTGAGTGTGTGAAGGGAGAGAGATAGAAAGAGAGAAAGAGAGAGAGAAGAGATTGGAATGCGGATGAGGAAAAGGATGTGTTTGAAGATGGCACGTACAAGAGACCAAAGCACAAGCCAAACTGGCTTCTTCTGAAGTGCACTTTCTGTCTTTTCCCCTTTTTTTTCTCTACCTCCAGTTTTTCTTTTATAAAATTTTCTTCCTCAATAATTGAACATTATAACATTATCATTTTCTATTCCACTCTTCAATTTTTTCTTTCTTCCTCAATTATTGCACATTGCATAATAGCTTGATGATTTTCTTTCTTCTGTGGGTCAACTTTTTGTTGACCATATTTATACAATGTGTTTTATATATACGTTGTTATTAGAGTTATGATTCACATTTTACATATGAAAATTAATTAAATTATTAAAAGTAGCAGTCTTAAGAAAATACTTAGATGTAAATTCTAGATTTACATTTAATTTGATTCAATAAACATGAATCTCAATACTATCATTGATTATTTTTAGTGACTTTTTAAATTAGTTATGATTTTTAATTTATAAGATTCAAATTCGGTATTATATTTAAGATATCCCATCTAGTTTTATTTAGACCAACCATATCTTAATCTCCATCAATCGTTTTTCGACAATGTTTTACCAATTTAATTATTCCTACATAAAATTTAAAATATAGTACTCTGTATAATTTTATATGGTTATTTATTTTAATTTATGTACAGACATGCTAAAAATACATTTTAATTGAAATTAGAAAATAAACTTGACCACTGTAAATTCTATATTAGGTTCATAAAAATACACACACAAAAATCCATGGTTTAACTGTATTATTTTACAGTGATACATAATATATTTGATTTGAGATATAAGTTAATATAAATAACTATATATAACATATATATATAGAGTAAGAAATTCATTAAGTAATATAAGTATGAGATGTTTTACCAGTTAAAAGAGAATATCTTGTACTTAGATGCATAAAATGTATTTTTTATGATGTGACTTGTGATAGATTTTTTTTCCTTCATATTTTAATGAGAACATAGCCTTTGTATAAAAATATAACAGATAACATGAACTTATCTTCTGTACGTAACAAAGATACAGGAGTTCAGATTCAATATGGATGTTTTTATGCTGTCCTAAAGTACTAAAAATACACTAATATTGATATTTGAAAAATTATTTTAATATATTTTAAAATATTAAAATTAATGACAATGAGTTTATTTTAAAAATAGAATAAAAAAATTGAATAGAAAAATGATAATTGATAAGAGAGAAAGAGAAAGAGTAGTATAAGAAAAATGATAAAAAGTTTACACGAAGAGGGTATAGAAAATAATATTGTGTCTCTGTGGATGTTTTGTTAATGGTGGATGTCTGACATTGATTGATTATTCATGCCAAACATTCTCTCTACCTAAAAAGTAGAGATAAAGTGAGTCCGTGAGAGTGTGAAAGATGAAGAAGAGTGACTGATAATGAAGTTTTAACATCGCTGTAATTGCTAAGAGACTTCAAACCAAAAGGCAAATATGCTTTTCTATCTCCATTCACAAACACAGCCTGTGACAGCCATATACTCATATTCAGATAAAACATTTTTTTTTTCTCCTTCAGAACCACACAAAATTTTATCAGATAATTAGCAAGTTTTAACTATGAATTAATTACGTTTTTTTTTGTTTTTATATCTATCTCAAACTTTCATTTTGTTCTTATATTTAATAAATGTATAGAGGCAGTAATTCTCATTCAATAGTAGTAATTGTTTTTTAACCACGACAAATGATTAATCATAGTAATTGTTTTTTAACCACTGACAAATGATTAATCATATTAGTAAGATGTTCATAGAAATTAAATTTGTAGATTGATAATGTTACTAACTGGGCCTTCAGCTTGCGGTCCAGCCCATCTTACATTTTTCCTTTTTATTTTACTTACTTGTACTCACTGTAACATAACATTATACTTTTAATAATATTTTGCATTCTGATTCTTCTCTCGTACTTGCCATTACTTTTTTCTGTGCCTTCTACTTCACTGTGCGCATCTCAGTTTGCCTCTATCCTCCGGTTTCTCTGCGCTAGGGTTGGTTTGTAGGAGCTCACTCTTCAGGTATGACTTTCTTACTTCATTCATCAATTAGTTGGTACTGCAAGTGTATCAGTTCTTCCTCATCTTGTATATTTCGTCTATCATCTTGATATGGTATCAGAGCTCTTCAAGAGCTCTGCTACGTTACTATACTTCTTCTTCTCCCTTTCTTGTACCTTTTTCCTTCTTTCTTTTTCTCGCTTCAGTCATGGTAGAAGACAGCTTCGTTCACAATTACCTGTATCTCCATCCCGTCGAGAACCCATCGACGTCTCTTGTTTCACCGGTTCTTGATGATACGAATTACCATTCTTGGAGTCGCTCCATGTTAACGGCACTTAGTGCCAAGAACAAGATCGAGTTCGTTCTTGGCAATATTATTCCACCGGACAAAGACAAGCCGAAGTATGTCGCTTGGAATCGCAAAAATAATATGGTCGTCTCTTGGATCGTCACTCGGTTTCCATCTCCATCAGACAAAGCATCATTTGGATGAGTAAAGCCGCAGAGATCTGGAACGATCTTAAGAATAGATTTTCCCAAGGAAGTCTCTCTCGGATTTCCAGCCTTCAAGTTGACATTGC